AAAATATTAACTAAAAAAATAATTATTATCTATTAAAATAATCAAAATATATCAAATCTCTAAGGTTGACTATCCGAAGATTGCATTAGAAGATTCGTATAACTACTTTCAAAATCTATATAATTTCCGAAATATACCAAATCTTTATTGTTGACTATTTGAAGATAATTGATTAAAAATTGACCGAAATTGAGCTAAATATTACTGAAATTGCCATTGAAAAATTCCAAAATTACCTATTTCAATTGAATTTCTATAGTTTAAATCCATGGCAATTTTAGTAATATTTAAATAGATTTTGGACATTTATTCTAAATGACTTCTCTTTTAATAGTATAGAGATATTATATTTATTTATTTATATACGATTTTCTTTTTAAGTTTTTGGATTCTTAATTACTGTTATTTGTATATTTTCTGTAAGTGAATATATGATGAATTTTTAGTAAGAAATTGTAAACAATATACTGTAGTTTTTAGTTCAGTAATTTAAAAACTAAAAGGACGTATCCATCGGTGAAAATAAAAGACGTATCAATCGACCCACAAAGAAATAATTTAGTTCAATTTTTCATACTAATCTATTCCTCATTGACCAAGTTCCTCTTTTATTAGAGTAGATTCATACCTCGCGCGTTGGGCAAAAATTTAATTTAAACGGTTAACAGTACGAATCAATTACTATAGGTATAATCATTTTTATTTTAAAAGATAAACTTATATAAACATTTATTTATATTTTTATCAAATTGATATATAACATAAAATTATTTTTTTATTTGAAAAGCAATGATTTGCTAAGTATCATGAAAACTAATTTATTTGAGATAGTGAATGCGATTTTAAAGATTTTATTTTAGTATTTTGCATATATCTTTTCGAAATTTAGTCAAATTCTCATGGAATCTTTTTTCAGTAACATTTATTTACTTATCTTTCGATACAGATTCATGTCTCTCTACATCTACTTTTGTCTCGTCTCCCTATATTATTTTTACCTAATTTAGTTCATTTATTTTTATTATTTTGTGGGTGCATATATCTT